ATGATTAAAAAATTGACATTTTTGAAAAACCAGGCAGCAGGTCTGGCGCTAAGCGTAGCTAGAGGGTGATAAGTGCGCTCTGATGCACCAGGAAAAAAATTCCCAGCCTCTTATCCACTTTCACCCAGGTCAATTATCTCCATTTTAACCTATTTTGAACTTATTTTGTTATATGTTTAGTCGTTTAGTTTAATTTGAAGTTGTTAAGTTGTTAGAGAATTATTTTGCGTTTGTTCAAAAAGCTTGTATTCGATTGGATTGAAGAAACACAAAGTGATTGTTTCAAGTTTGAATGTATCAACAAGAAAATGTTATGGTAATGATAAAAGTTTGAAGGGAAGGTACATTATCAAGGTACATGTTTAATGCTTTCTAGAACATAACATGAATATGAAAATTATAATTTGTACAAATAACATGTCATTCATTCTTTTGAAATACATGCTCATAATTGAATCCCTTTAGATTATAACCAAAGGTGAGGAAGCTTCCATTGTTTACTAAATTGTACAAGAGACCAACAATTCTTGTTTTAACTCATTTGACTTATGTTTAATATTGTATTTGTGTTGAATTGTATGAAAGCATGAAAATGATCAAGACATTTTGTTTGATTTTAAGCACAACCACTTGACCAAAAGTAACCTACCTTGTGAAGTGAGAGAGAATTTGTTCACCATTTTGAGCCTTAGTGTCAGGATCCATGTTGGTGTTGAACTTTGAAAATTGCACAAAAATAATTAGTTCATCATTGATTTTTGTATGGATTCTAAATTTGTTTCTTGAATCACTTGAACCATCAACCATAAATTATGGTTGAAATTTTAACCATTGCCTTAGAAAGTTTGGGAGCATTCACATTGCAATATTTGGTTGTATTCTAGTTGGGGGGAAAAAAGTGGGTTGCTAAGAGGTTGCAAAAGAAACAGATTGAAAAAGAAAGAAAAATGTGGAAAAAAAGAAGAAGAAAAAAAGAGAAAAAAGAAAATCCTTGAAAAAGAAAAAGTAGGAAGAAAATTGTAATAATAAGTTGTATTCAAGGGTATAGAAATTTAGTAATGAGGAAAAGTTAAATGAAGTTGTGAATGCTTGAGAATTTGAGAAGTGACCGCTCTCATATATTTAGGCAATTTTTGTTTCAATTACCTAGAGATATGACCCTTCTTTATTAACCAAGTCACATTACAACATTTGAAAGTCCTTTATAATTTGTGCTTTTATGCTTTCAATATGAATTTTTTAGATGAATGCATAATTTGATTAAGATGTTTGTTTTTCATCCATTGATGAAGTTGCGTGTTAGGTGTGATTCATATTTGAAAATGTGTTGCTTTAGAATTTTTGACATGTGTTTTGTGCTTAGAACTTGTTTCATGATCATGGTGTTGTTGTAGTTTAATGGTAAGTATCATTTTGCTTGTACTTTTGCAATTTAAACCATACATTTGTTTTCGTTTCTAAAAACTTGTTTGATCATGAGTTCTTGGTAGTTGCTCTTGTTTCTTTAGGTTTGATTGACTCTTGGTTGAGGACGAACTAAGTTTTAAGTTGGGGAGAGTTTGATAAGTGTCAATTTGTGTTAAATTTGTGTATGAATTAGTGGTGCTTATTGACTTAATTCATTGGATTCACAAGTCAAAAACTCATCTTTTGTGTAAATATTGTGTAGTTCGATCAATTCTAACTTATTTTGTAGATTTGTATGCATTGGAGGAGTTTTGGGCACTTAAAAGGCAAAAGAAAAGCTTCAAGGTGCATCTTTAATGGAAATTAATGTTTCAGTTTGGGCTAAGCATAATAAAGCACGCTTAGAGTGGTCTTGATATAGGCATTCCCGCTTAGCGTCAAATTCTGCGCTTAGCATAATTTAAGGTGGTTTAACTTTGTTGAATTTTGTGCTTGACGCCATCTGCAAATTTTTTTTTTCTATAAATAGAATTCAATTGATATTTTTAAGAAGATACACCATTTTTGGAGAGAGATAGAGAGAGAAGCTTAGAAAACAACAAGAAAATGTGCTTCTTGAAGATTTGTTCACCATTTTGAGAGAGAATTTGTTCACCATTTTGAGCCTTAGTGTCAGGATCCATGTTGGTGTTGAACTTTGAAAATTGCACAAAAATAATTAGTTCATCATTGATTTTTGTATGGATTCTAAATTTGTTTCTTGAATCACTTGAACCATCAACCATAAATTATGGTTGAAATTTTAACCATTGCCTTAGAAAGTTTGGGAGCATTTACATTGCAATATTTGGTTGTATTCTAGTTGGGAAAAAAAAGTGGGTTGCTAAGAGGTTGCAAAAGAAACAGATTGAAAAAGAAAGAAAAATGTGGAGAAAAAAAAAAGAAGAAAAAAAGAGAAAAAAGAAAATCCTTGAAAAAGAAAAAGTAGGAAGAAAATTGTAATAATAAGTTGTATTCAAGGGTATAGAAATTTAGTAATGAGGAAAAGTTAAATGAAGTTGTGAATGCTTGAGAATTTGAGAAGTGACCGCTCTCATATATTTAGGCAATTTTTGTTTCAATTACCTAGAGATATGACCCTTCTTTATTAACCAAGTCACATTACAACATTTGAAAGTCCTTTATAATTTGTGCTTTTATGCTTTCAATATGAATTTTTCAGATGAATGCATAATTTGATTAAGATGTTAGCAAGATTGTTGGGTGTGATTCAAGTCCCTCATGTTTGTTTTTCATCCATTGATGAAGTTGCGTGTTAGGTGTGATTCATATTTGAAAATGTGTTGCTTTAGAATTTTTGACATGTGTTTTGTGCTTAGAACTTGTTTCATGATCATGGTGTTGTTGTAGTTTAATGGTAAGTATCATTTTGCTTGTACTTTTGCAATTTAAACCATACATTTGTTTTCATTTCTAAAAACTTGTTTGGTCATGAGTTCTTGGTAGTTGCTCTTGTTTCTTTAGGTTTGATTGACTCTTGGTTGAGGACGAACTAAGTTTTAAGTTGGGGAGAGTTTGATAAGTGTCAATTTGTGTTAAATTTGTGAATGAATTAGTGGTGCTTATTGACTTAATTCATTGGATTCACAAGTCAAAAACTCATCTTTTGTGTAAATATTGTGTAGTTCGATCAATTCTAACTTATTTTGTAGATTTGTATCCATTGGAGGAGTTTTGGGCACTTAAAAGGCAAAAGAAAAGCTTCAAGGTGCATCTTTAATGGAAATTAAAGTTTCAGTTTGGGCTAAGCATAATAAAGCACGCTTAGAGTGGTCTTGATATAGGCATTCGCGCTTAGCGTCAAATTCTGCGCTTAGCATAATTTAAGGTGGTTTAACTTTGTTGAATTTTGTGCTTGACGCCATCTGCAAATTTTTGTTTTCTATAAATAGAATTCAATTGATATTTTTAAGAAGATACACCATTTTTGGAGAGAGATAGAGAGAGAAGCTTAGAAAACAACAAGAGAATGTGTTTCTTGAAGATTTGGAGTTGAGTTTGCTTTTATCGTTGGGAAATCGTGATGGATGCGTGTTCATCTTAATTCTTCTCTTTGTATCTAGCTACCATGGGTAACCAAATCCCTTTCTTGTTGGGATTGTATGTAAGTTCACTATAAAAATATGTATTTTTATTGATCATGGCGTTATGCACAATCTATTTATGAATCTATATGGATGTTATCCTTATTTACTTGTTTTACATATTGATTTGAACGTTTATTGAGAAATGCCATTTGAATCTTGATCTAGGATACTAATCTGTTAGATTTTAAAATCTAGACATATATTTAGATTTAACATTCACTTGAGTATCGAGTCTTTAATGCTATTGTATTGTTTAATAGACCAAGAGATCGTCGATTAGACAATACAGTTGAACTCTCGTAAGGAGTTTAGCCGTGAACACCGTCGGTGAACGATACATGATTATATTGATAAATGTTTAGATTCTGCATAACTTATTGGTAAATTACATATTCTATCAGTGGGTGAAATTTAATCCTGAAAAGCTCTCATTTCTCTAAAACTTTATTTATCATTCATTTGTTTTACATTTTGTAGTTTTAAATCATTAAACATCTTGCAAACTTACGTTTAAAAACATAGTAACGGTTGAACGACATTGATATTGCATCAATCCCGGTAAATACGGCAAAACAAATATTGACCCTTCATAGCACAAATACTGCAAATCAACAGAAAACATGTCTCTTTTATCCTAGTTTGAATTTAATTTTGATGGATCCATTTCAATTGGTTTGGGACAGTCAACTAGTAGATGATGAATAATTCCTCGTGTTTTGACTTTTTTGTTGTATTTCTTCGCCTCTCTCTCTCTCTCTCTCTCTCTCTCTCTCTCTCTCTCTCTCTCTCTCTCTCTCTCTCTCTCTCTCTCTCTCTCTCTCTCTCTCTCTATATATATATATATATATATATATATATATATATATATATATATATATATATATATATATATATATATATATATATATATATATATATATATATATATATATATATATATATATATATATATATATATATATATATATATATATATATATATATATATATATATATATATATATATATATATATATATATATATATATATATATATCACTCATTGACTAAGTAACACAAATGGCTTGGTGGTGAGTCTTGATTAAAAAATGCATATATTTTAGAGGCTTGCTATTTTGACACTGCTTCTTATATTTTAGATGCACAGCAAAGCAACAAATTTTTTGCACAGAAATCAAAGTAAATAATTATTAAAAAAATAAAAATAGTATATATTATATATATTTATACGGTGTAAGTGTTAAAGTTAGTGTGAAAATATCTTTTCCCTATATTTTATGATAAGCTTACTTGTGTCCATATTTACTTTTAACTTTCACAAGCTTAACCTTATCCAAATAGTTATAATCAACCTCCATTGCTTCATCTCTCTAGTCACCAATCTTTAATCCTCAATAGATGGGTTGCGTTAGAATGATAGTCCCAATAGATGTCTCCATCCCATTCATGAACTTGAGCCAACCATTTCGACCGCCTGTCACAAAACTAATTTTTACATGGCGCAACACAACCCTAACCCATTCCAATTGCTTAACTTCCCCACAACCATCACCATCCTCTCTGCATTCAGATTCAACCTCATTCCAAGTCTCCTATCTCATCAACAATTTCGATTTCTCCCCACAAACCGCTTCCAAACTTTGCTCCGCCTACCGTCTTGCTTTCAAAACCACCCAAAATCCTGACTCTGTTATCAACTTCTTCACAAACTACGGTTTCTCTAATTCCCAGTTACGCCACGTGATTTCCAGGGTACCATGGCTTCTTTCCTGCAACCTCTCCAAAAGGGTGTTACCAAAGTTTGAATTTTTTCTCTCCAAAGGTGCTTCTAACTCTGACATTGTTAACCTTGTCAGCAAGAACCCTAGAATCTTGTGTCCAAGCTTGGAGAATCATATAGCCCCAACCTATGAATTGGTTTATAGATTCTTGCGATCTCACAAAGACACTATTGATTGTGCACTTCACAATTCATCTGTCTTTCGAGACAGCAATGTGACAAAAAATATCAGATTGCTCGTTGAGAATGAAGTAACCGACGCAAACATTGCATTAATTCTTCGAATGAGGAATCGGACATGGCAGGAGCGTGACATGCTGAATTTAGTGGATGAATTAAAGGGTTTGGGGTTTAATCCTTCAAAAACAACTTTTGGTGTAGCATTGATTGCGAAAACAAAAGTATGCAAAACCAGGTGGAAGGAGAAAGTTGATGCCTTTAAGAAGTGGGGTTGGTCTGATGAAGATGTCACTGAAGCATTTAGAAAGCAACCTTATTGTATGTTAACATCTATTGATAAGATTAATTTAGTGATGAATTTCTGGGTAAATCAATTGGGCTGGGATGCTCTGGACCTTGCCAAACATCCGGCGGTTTTTTCATTAAGTTTGGAAAAAAGGATCATTCCAAGGGCCTCGGTTGTGCAATTTCTTCTGAATAATGGTTTGAGAAATAACAATGCAAGCTTAACTACTCCATTTACAGTGCCTGAGAAGGTGTTTCTTGATAGGTTTATAAAACGTTTTGAGAAGGAGTCGTCTTATCTATTAAACTTGTACGAGGAGAAACTCAATCTTGCATGTGATGATTAGATTTTCAGGTATTTGAGCTTTACTGTATTGTTGTTCCATATTTGATTTGAAATTTATTTGGTAGAGACTGTGATTGGAGCTAGTTTGGGGTAGTGATGAGGGAAAGTGGCATTTATATAACCGAATAAATGACTATGAATGTGAACTATACTGATTAACTTATATTGATTAATGGCATTTAAAGCCCTTGTCTTAGATATGTATAAGGAATGAGTATAAAATAGGTCAAACCAGAAAGAAATGATTCTACTGAAACATAGAAAATAGGCTATGGCAGAGTTTCAAATATTGCCAGAAGGGTGCATTGCCTCCATACTCTCTCATACTACACCCATTGACGCATTCCAACTCTCCCTCTTTTCTAAAACTTTCCGTTCTGCTGCCAACTCCGACACTGTCTGGAATAAATTTCTCCAGTCCGATACACCATTCATGGACTATTTCATTTCACATTCTCCTACCCTTGCCAACTCCCCTACATATGTCTATGTTGTGGATATAAGCTTCTAGCTAAGAGTGTTTTTCTTTAATCTATAACAATAATTTATAGTATTATTAATATTATGACTTATTATTTTTTTCAAAAAATTAAAAAATTGATTCGAGTATTATATATTAGACTTAATTACATTAAAATTTGTAGAAATGTCCATTATTAACATTAAAATTTTAATTTTTATTGAATATATATGTATCAATTAATGTGTATAGGTTACATTCTAGCTTCTCAAAGATTGAACCTCCATATACTTTGAAACTATTAAGGTCAAAAAATTTTAAAATGAGAATCAATAGGTAATATAATTAAAAAGTATAAGAATCAAAATAATAAAATATAAATTAAGAAATAGAATTAAAAAATATGGAACTTTGTTAGGATTACCAAGTTATAGTTTAAAACTATTGCTAAAAAAAAGTGTATATATATATATATATATATATATATATATATATATATATATATATATATATATATATATATATATATATATATATATATATATATATATATATATATATATATATATATATATATATATATATATATATATATATATATATATATATATATATATATATATATATATATATATATATATATATATATATATATATATATATATATATATATATATATATATATATATATATATATAGATTTAATGTTGTATGAAATATATGTACATAATATCAATAAATACTAGTACATGGTATATCAAAGTTTTTAGTACAGATTGTTTAATAAAAGAAATTTTCAAATCTTTTGGCAAAATTGTATTGATTTCCGTCGCATAAAAATTTTGATTGGAAATAGTGCACGAGAAATCATTTTACATTACTAAGGATTTTCATTTTAGGTATTTGGCAACTTGTTCAGTTGTTCTCTACCATTATCTTAATCGAATTGTATAACCAAGGTTAAAAAGTTTCGCTTTGAGCGAAGTTTCGTCTCTGAACTAAAAAAACGTTACCTAATGATCTTTTAATTTAAGTTCCGTTAGATATTTTTGTCCCTTCTGTTAGTTTGTGTAAAAAAAAACGTTAGTTTGTTTGAGGTGGCATGCCAAGTAAGTTTGTGTCAAAAAAACGTTAGTTTGTTTGAGGTGGCATGCCAAGTAAGCCAATTTAGGATTCCACATCAGCATATGTATACATTGCATTACATAGGGTTCCATATTTCATTCTTGCTGCTTCATTCTTCTTCCATCATTCTTCAGCCATGTTCCATATTTCAACCTCTTCCATCTTCATCTTCAAATCAGGGTTAAATCTCTTTCTTCCATCTTTCTTCTACCATCTTCCATTTTCTTCTGCAATTTGGAAATTAGGGTTCGAGTAATGCCTCGACTTTAAATAACCATAGATATGGTACATCTGGATCTTTGATTCGTAGAAACAAGATGATCGAGTGCTTTTGCCAAGATGAAAGTGTTCTTAGAGCAATGAATGATGTGAACAGTGTCAACAAGGGGAGAAAATTTTGGGGTTGTAGAAATTACAGAAACCACATTGAAAAGGGTTGTAATTTTTCAAGTGGTTGGGTGATGAGTTTGTTGATGACAGAGATTTGAAACTTGAAAGACAAAAGAAGAAAATTAACAAATTGAAGAATGAAGTTATATACACTCGAGGGTGGCTCAAAATGTCCATTGTTGTTGGGATTGCAAGCTTAGGGTTAAACCTTGTATTTGTAACAATGTATCTCAATTAGTTTTTGGGTAGTTCAAAGTTATGTTTTTATGCTGGTAGTTCTAGGATTGAACCTTGTGTTTGTAACAAATTGATGAGTTTGTTTAATGAATAATGTATTGTTATGTTGTTTCAATGAATAATGTATGTATTATGTTTTCACATTTTCATTAATTAATGTCTCAATATCCAACCTGTAAAATATACAGCCCAATGACCAATATTTGTGGAAACAAACTGTAATATAACTTGTTCAAACATTCATTAACAGATTCAAAGTTTGATACATAACATGTTCAATAACAGATTCAAAGTTTGACACATAACAGGTTCAATAACCATTCCAACATTCATTAATAGATTCAAAATTTGGTACATAACAGGTTCAATAGCCATTCCAACATTCACTAACAGATTCAATATTTGGTACATAACAGGTTCAATAATAAAAGGTCATTATAAGGCATTACATAACAGGTTCAAAAACCAAAAGGCCATTATAAGGCATTACATAACAGGTTCAAAATCAAAAGGTCATTATAAAGCATTACATAACAGGTTTAATTCCAAAATGTGCATTAACAAAAACAAAAGAGTCAGGCCATTAACTGGCATTACAAAATCTTAGTAGACATAATAATATTGATCATGGTTGGCTTGAAACAGGCTTGCCACCCTTATGAAGTTTTTTCTTAGTTTTGGATGGTAGCTGACTTGTAACAATAGGTGGTGGTGGTTGACTTGTAACAGATTATGGTGGTGGCTGACTTGTAATAACAAGTGGTGGTGGTTGACTTGTAACAGCTTGTGATGGTGGCTGACTTGTTGCAACAGGTGGTGGTGGTTGACTTATATTAGCTTGTGATGGTTGCTGACTTGTTGCATCTTGTACCTGACTTGAATTAGCTTGTGATGGTGGCTAACTTGTTGGTTTTTATGGTTGTGGTAGTTTACAAGTGGCCTTGTTGTGACCATCCTTGTGCCTACGACTACACTTTATACCATGCCTTGCCCTCTTCATGTGTGTCTCATCCCTCACCATCTCTCCAGCTTCCCTATTCCTTTTTTTCTTTAGCCTTCCAGGCTACCTCTTTATTGGTGGTGGCTGAAGATCAACAACACTAGTATTTTTCCACAAGGCTTCCCCATTAAGTGGATATACCACATGTGCATAGCGAACATCATATTATTCCTTCTTGTAACAGTCTGGTACAAAGTCATCAATCTCCAAATGTTAATCTTCCATTCAAGACATTGCATGACAGCAAGGAAGTCCAGTCAGCATCCATAGTCTACATGAGCATTCTTTCTTGTAAAGGTTGACAACATATTTTTCTCCATTGAGTGAAGTATGCCTCACCTCATAGTCATATTCACCTGCACGTCTGTAAACAAGTAACCATTAACAATGATAGTCTATGTAAACAGTTAGCCATTTGAAATTAATATTACCTCACAATCCAATTATTGGTTTTTTGTGACTCCCTTTCCATCCTCTTCTTGACGTTAGGTAGTATGATGTCATCGTATTTGATAATCTTTTGCCTATTGGATTCCTATCTCTGCATTATGTATACTCTAATTTCTTCCAGCATTGTCACAATGGGCTTGGATCTAGCAGCCACAAATACAAAATTGAAGGCCTCTGACATATTGTTAACCAAAGTGTCACAACCTGAACTTGGCTGGAACCTTGATTTGCTCCAGAATCTTGGTGGAATTTTGTTGAGGTGTTTGAAGGCCTCTTCATTAACTCCTTTTATTTCAAGCACTATTTTCTCCCAAGCATTAACATAACTTGCACATGCAACCCTCCACATCAATTCCTTTAATTTCAGGCCAGAGAACTTTTTCCTGAAGTTACTATACAAATGTATGCAATATAAAGTAAGTGTAAACATTACCAAGTATGTCATATTCAATATGTAAGTTACTAAACCAAGTATGTCATATTCAATATGTAAGTTACTAAACCAAGTAAGTCATATTCAATATGTAAGAACTGACAGTAAATGTTACCAAGGTGAGAGTAATGTGTTACCTAACACAGAATCTTTGGTCAACATTACCAAGTAATTCATTAAGAGTTAGCAGTAAACCCTACATCCATAAATAAGTAAGAATGATGGTGAAAATAAAACAATTGGCTATCAGTCACATTTCAAGGTGAGAGTTTAAAACCTAACCTTTTGTTGATCATTAATGAAGGTATAGGTTCTGCACAACCTGACTCCTTCCAAATTAGGTATCAATAACTCTAAAAACCAGCTCCATGAGTCTTTAGTTTCACCCTCAACAACAGCATATGCAATTGGAAGCATTTGGTCATTTGGGTTCCTACCAATAGCAGCTAGTATTTATCCTAAATAGTATCCCTTTAAGAAATAACCATCTAATCCTATAATAGGCCTGCATTTGAAAAAACTGTCCTTGCAAGCTTTGAGACAAACATACATCCTCTGAAAGTGAGGATTCAATTGAGTAGAGTTTTCACTATTTTCCCATTGAACTGGTGGTTGACTTGTAATATTCACAGTTGATCCTGGGTTTTTCCTCAATAGTTCATGGCCATAATCATGAATTCTTCTATATTACTCTCTAAAAGAACCATCCACAATATCAACAACTAGTGTTTTTGCATTATATGCCAATGTCTTGTTAATCCCAACATTCCACTTTTCATGTGTCTTCTCCATAATATCAGTCAACTTCAAAGATGGATTCTCTCTAACACTTGTTTGAATCTTCTTGCCCAACCATTTTGAATTAAGGAACCTAATCTTATAATCCCTACTACAAGTATGCTTGTCCACAATTGTCCTCAATTGCCAAATCTCATGACCTTTTATATTTGCACAGTAAGTCTCCCATGGGCAACCTGTCTTACATTTGACTCTCATTCTTGCCTTATCATTTTTTGTAAATTTCAAGTTCATTCTTGAATGAATGGAATATGTTCTTATTGTCTCTTGAAACACCCCCTTTGTAGAAAAATATGTACCAAGTTCCCATTTATAGTCTTCCATTCTTTTTGGGAGCTTAAAGGTTACAAAATCATCCTTTACAACCTCATCATTCTCACGTCATACTCAATAGGCATTTTATCACTGTCGTACTGCTCAATGTCACCTAAACCTCTCAAATTGTCCAGATTTACCTCACCATCATTATCAGTGCCTACATCCCTAACAATGACCTTTTCCTTTCCTTTCCCTTTCCCTTTCCCTTTACCTTTCTCTTTCCCTTTACCTTTCCCCTTCCCTTTCCCCTTATCTTTCCCATTGTTTTTCCCATTGCCTTTCCCGTTGCTTTTTCCCTTCAACTTACTTGTTGCATTCACTTCATCCTCATCCATTGTTATCTCTCCATCAATACCTATGCCATTCTTTGAGTCTTCAAAATTAACATTCAAAGCACTATCATCACTTTCATTTTCTTGGTTACAATTAACTACCTCATCTTGTTCTTTGTTACAGTTCAGTCCTTCATTGATTTCATCTCCTCCAACATTCATCCCTACATCCACATTCTCCACCATTTCACAGGTAGTCCCCACATCATCCATATTGTTACAATTTGTCTCCCCTTGACCCACATTCTCCTTAGTTTTACAGTTGGTCCCCACATGACCCACATTTTCCTCAATTCCAACATTTTCCTCAACTTCATCAACTCTCGTCCCCTCTTCCACCACATCTTCACCCAATATGGTCCTACCTTCATTACTTCCCCCTTCATATACTTCACCAACCACATCCTCAATCACTATGGTCCCATCTTAATTATTAATCATATCAGGCCCTTCACCACGCATATCTTCACCCAATATGCTCACATGTGGTAGTGAGAGTATGGGCTCCTCAATAACATCAAGTTCAGATACAGGATGTGTAACATGCAAGTGGTATTCCCCAGTTAACACTGCAATGGTTCTCATCCTATCATTCCCCTTATCATTTTCTAACTGAATTACATCATTAGCAATAATATCATCATAATACCAAAGCCTGTCTATAGTAGGGTAACCTAACTCTCTTAACTTCTCCAATATATCAAAGTAACTTCAATAATCAAGATCAACATCCCATATCTCCTCTAACCCTACATAACCTGACTTGGTAAAATTTGCAAACTCCCTAGAAAACTCACCAGAATGATGAGCACACTTAAACATAATCTGCATGACCTAATCAACCTACATATAGTATCATAAGTACTAAGTAAGTTAGGTATAAAAGAAATTTAACATTTTTTAAATTGTATTTGTGCAAGTTCGTACCTTAGGGTTTTCTGTGCAGACGAGTGAAATAATGAAGTTCTTCTTCTTCGTTCTTCTGCAATGAACTCCGTCTTCAAACAATTGTTGTCGTAAACGTCGCTATCGTCGTCTTCAATGAACTTCGTCTTCAAACAAGTGTTGTTGTTCACAATGTAGCTGCTCTCTGAACCTGGACTTTCATCCAACAATGTTATCATGCCCTAATATGTTTCATCTCCTTAAAATGAATGTTATGTGTAATACAAAATCCACCTCATTCATTAAAATAATTACAGAATATCCACCTAAGCCATTTAAAGTCCAGCAATGCAATTTCTAACGTTTTCCCAACCAAAACTAACAGAAAGGACTAATATACGCAACAGAGTATATGTTAGTGGACTATAATGTAACGTTTTTTTCTTAAGGGACCAAAGTGAAACAAACACTAAAGTTAAGAGACTAAAAGAGATATTATGCCTAATTTATAGTATTATTAATATTATTATTTTTTTCAAAAAATGTAAAAATTGATTCGAGTATTATATATTAGACTTAATTACATTAAAATGTGTAGAAATGTCCATTATTAACATTAAAATTTTAATTTTTATTGAATATATATGTATCAATTAATGTGTATAGGTTACAATCTAGCTTCTCAAAGATTGAACCTCCATATACTTTGAAACTATTAAGGTCAAAAAATTTAAAATGAGAATCAATAGGTAATATAATTAAACAGTATAAGAATCAAAATAATAAAATATAGAATTAAAAAATATATATATCAAATACTAGTACATGGTATATCAAATTTTTAGTATAGATTGTTTAATAAAAGAAATTTTCAAATCTTTTGGCAAAATTGTATTGATTTCCATCGCATAACAAATTATGATTGGAAATAGTGCACGAGAAAATAAATGTCACTTAAAACTATTCAATATCAAATTAATTTTTTAATTTTATTTATTTTTATAAGCAAGAGATATACTCACTCCGTTTTTTTATTATAATTTGTTTTGAAAATGAAATTATACCACACTATAAATCATTTTACATTAAAAAGGAATTTCGTTTAGGTATTTGGCAACTTGCTCAGTTGTTCCCTACCATTACCCTAATCCAATTGTATAATCAGGGCTAAAGTGTGATATTTCTCCCTAAAACTGCACTACATTTTGTAATTTTGTTTGATTAATTTAGTTATGCATTTCAGTTATTAGATTAAGAAAATTATATTCCACATTAATAGACTATTTCCCATGTAAAATGGGCATCAATTACTAATATTATTGTCACTTGAGAAACGAAATTTCTGAAGTTAAGTAACCAAAAAACCAATGTGAACGGAAAAAATCATATTATCCAATTGACATAACCTGTGGATATTCTTCCAAAAAAGAGTTTACATTGATTATAAATATGGGAAGATGGAGTTCACAATCCATCTTATGACATAAGACATCTAGCTCTTGTGCAAAGCAGGAACTGAGATGACTTCCTTTGCAATAAAAAAAAGGTTTGGTATTGTCTAACACTAAGCCCGTGCCTCCGTAGTCGTTAGCATCTGCAGTCCTGAATACACACATCCAGAGAAACATTAGCCACTTTCCTATTTGTATTGTTATCCCTTAATTTCTGGGTATAAAACAAAATCAACAGGGATTACTTATCTGACCTTGTAATCACCCATCGCAGCTGAGTCTCTCTACTACTAAACAATGTAGAAACAAAGATAAGTCAATTGATGAGCATGTAACTCAGAAGCAAAAACAGAGACTGAAAGAAGAAATAATAGAAAGAATTCAGGAAGATAATGAAATGTTCTATTTTTTTTTTTCTACCTGAATGAAATGAAATCAAAATAAGTTAGCCGTCCAAAGCCTTTTGATATCAGATAATGCTAAAATATTTAATAACTTTTGTTGCAATATATAAATAGTTGAATAATGACAAAGCTTGGTCAGCCTTTGCATAGTCAAAGCCAAGGTTAGCAGCAAGAAATTGGGAGAGAAGAGATGACAACAGATAACATTTATCCTAGAGACACATTTATCATGTAATTAAACTAAAAATAGCAATAAAATTCTAAGTAAAGCAATGAGAGAATAAAAACTTTTTAATGGAAAATAGATTTTATTGAGGTTGCCATTATTGCATTTTGTTGCTTTTATCTCGAGAGGGAAAATAAAGAATGCAATAGTGATAATATAGACAGTAAAATCCCTTTAATGAATGCTTCTAGACACTATCATAGTTAAGGATACAAAGGAGGATACAATGATTAAAGCCCCGAATCTTGATATGCTAATACTGCAAATTTGTGCCAATAAACTGTGTTAAAGTAGAGCTTTCCATTCAAATTTATATTCAACTTCTAAATAGGAAATGACTAGCCTAACTTACCCACTGTATAATGCCTTCATAGTTCTGGTCAGCATAGCGAATTAAGTTCTTCATAGTTCTTGTTTATTGTGATGAACTCTATGCTCGTGCAGTTCATTTCGACTTCTGTGTCTTTCAGGGCTTGTTGAAGCACGATCTCCTCCATTATGATGACTCCTGTGATGTCCTTGTTTACGTTGTTCGTAATCTCTAGAAGTAGCATCATGTACAGCTTTGCTTTTGTCAGAATAATTTGTGTGAGATTGTTGCTCATGGTAACCTGGGTTTCTGATTGTCACTGCAGGTGACTCATCACAAACTTTTCTTGAATTATTGGCTTCCATAGGAATGGCATGACTAGAAGGCAGTTTAGGTGGAGGCATCAGACTGTCTTCAGAAACACTGACAGGGCTCTTAACACCTGCAGCCAACTTGATTTCCTCCATGTACTCCCCTATCATATCCCTCATCACCTTCAGAGTTTAGAATTAAACATAAAAAACTGTTAAAATATAAGAAGTTAAAGAAAAGAATCGAAATTCCTCTGAATAATTTATTCTGAAATGTTGCTAAAGACAAACTGGCAAAACAAAGATCTCGACCACTGAATCTGATACAATACTGAAAAGGATACAAACTGGAATAAATAACAACATGAAAATTAAAAAATGTTCATGATTATTTAGCTTCAATAAAGACTATGAACAATTAGAAAACTGAACAATGACTCCGTTCCTTTTATTTATGGATGATTCGGCACTTAAAAGCAGAAAATAACTATGATTAATGATAGAAGCAGAAAATTTCAAGTCTAACCTGTAAAGGTGATTGATTTCTCTTCTTGCCACGATAAGACATTCTTCTACGTTTATAATCCCTTTCTTCAGCTAGTAACTCCTCAATTGTCTTCTCTTTTTGGGTTCCCTATAATTGATAACAGATCGAAAAATATGTCAGTTATAGGTAGAATAAAAGTAAATCATATTCACTTCCATGAATGCGGCGACGCCTTAGATAACAGGAACTTGGGTATAAATTTTGAATGAACTGCTATCACTATTTTGACAATTTGACATGCAGAATGTGTCAATAAGGAAAATGGATGGGACTGGATTTAACAATCCTTTTAAATTTTTTCACAGTCGAGGTTGTGGAGGGAGCGGCCACCATACTCGATCTAGCGAGCCCCTTTAATGTTGTAGTGACCCGGACTGCGGCAAGGGCGGCGGATGTAATACTGTTTTCATACCCCTAACATAGCATATAAGCATACTAATACAAACTCCCTAATTATTTAATAGTCATCTGCTACGTATTTCAGTGCTAAAAGAGTAAAAACCCAACTGGTTAGACATAACCGAATTTAATATGATTAAAATAAAATCACCACAGTTAACCAATAGAAGCATTTGGATGAAAATCATATAACTCATATTTCGATCTCCACTAATCTATTAGACAGCTCTAAATTATCCACCATAGTGAGTCCAAATCCGTAGTACCACAAATAAATAATTTAGGAAACCACAAAATGGAAAACTGGTTCCCAAAACTATATAAACCAAATTAGAAGTACCTGTTGATATGAACACTGCCGATGAACCCAATCATACTCAATTATAGGTCTATAATCAGCGCGATTTTTCCGCTCTTCATTAGCTTTGTCATATAAATAACAATGCTCAGCTTTCCTAGAGAATCAAAAAGCCATAAATCACATTAACCTCATGATATTCACAATCATACATAGTTGAAAATGATCAATTCCATAAAAAATAAAAGACAGTGCTCATATTATAAAACTTCAAGTGCAGCAAAGAAATATTCATCGGTGCAAAACTATACATACAGAATATAAAAGCAAACACATACAGCTGATAGCTATTTGACGGATGAGAAAACCAAAATCCCTTTATTTTCCGTTCAAGCAATGCTCGTTCGTGCAGCGCCGCAACTGCTGCAACAACTTGTGGCATTGAAATCTTCCTCTCCTGAATACAGTCTGTATTATTCCTTTCTTTCTTCGAAGCAACAGAGTCAGCAACTTCGTTATTTCCTAAAGGAAACAAAAGCAGAACCGAAGCACCAGCCAGAATACATTTTTTCACAAACTCAAGAACAAATAATTTTCCATTAACACCAAACAGAATCGAAACCTGAGATTCTAACCACATTAAGGCACTCTTCAAAACAGAAGCTTCTCTAAGAATTGACTTAAAACACAAAGAAAACAGCAAAAAAATATGCCTCTGCATAGAGGTATCAATTACAATGCCGTATCGAGGCGAATTGGATATCATCCAACCATCAAGGTCATTCTCTTTGGCAATTCCAATACCTAAGATTGCGTGATGAACAGAGGTGGAGTAGGTTGTAGGAAAATTGTTCCATGATTCAATTTCGCGGGAGATGTAGACATATTCAGAGGGAACAATGGAGGGAGGGTTATGATTAGTGTTGGTGGTGTTGTTTGAACATTCTCGGGATAAAAAGTCAGGGAGATTAAAAGTTGCGGTTCTAGCGACGGAGTTTGCTTCGGAGAAAGTAACTACGCCGGGGCAATTGTTGTAGAAAAAGTTGGAAGTAAAATCGAAGTAGGAAGAGAGGTGAATGGATTGAGGATTGTGGAGGGTTTTAGGGTAAGAGAGAGAGGTGAGGAGGTGGTGGAGGTCGGGAAGAGGACGAGGTGAGGAAGGGCAGCGGAGGTGGTGGAGGAAGAGGGAAGACGGTGGGAGGAGGTGGTTGTGATTGAAAAGGCAGGGAATGAGATTTGAGGTTAGGGTTTGGGGTTTCGGGGTGATTGAGAGGATTTGGTTTGAGAAAGTGAGGAGGTTGTTGAGGGATGAGAGGGTTGTGTTGAGGTGGTTTAGGGTTGGACGGGGTGGTAGCGGTGGTGGTGGTGGTAGTGATGGGTGTGGTGATGGCGGTGGCGGTGGCGGTGGTGGAGGCGGTGGCAGATTCATGATTGGGTGTTACATTACTTTCAACACATTAATATTATGCTTGAAAAATAATTATAAATAATGATGGCTCTTCGTTAGGGATTTTAAATTATCGGTGTTGAATAGCAAATGCCGAGGTTTTCGTGACACGGTGGTTGTTTGTTGGATACATCTCGTTTGAAATTGGGTCCTGGTTAAGCTAATTACTATTGCCGAAGACATTCATGATTCTTTGTGATAAGAAGATTGTTTTCTTCCATGGAGTCATGTAGAATCAAACTCATATTCTCCAATTATTCACAGGAGCAGAACAAATATTTCATTTTCAATGTTTGTTAGACGGAACAGAAAATATTTTAATTTTTTATTTCATTTTCATCTTTTATTTCGAAAATATTAATATATTAATTATATATTTATTTTATATAAAACAGCATAAAATAAATATTTTAATGACAAATCAACCATTTATTTAGAACCTATCAAACAATTTATATAAAAAGATATTGTTTTATTAATTATGTTTCTTTATTAACGTGAACAAAATATTGTTTCTCCCACAATTAATATGAGTAAATATTGACAACAAATTCTAACGAGAAATGATATTTTTACACCATCCTTTACACTTACAACGTATTTTACTATTTACCAATACGGTGAACAGTGAAATATTATAAAATTAAATATATTTTTTTAAAAATATAAAAATTAATTTTTTATTTTTAAATTAAATGATACTGATATGAAATTGTGTGATTAATCAATTTCATGACTCTATTAACCAATATTTTACATATTATTAACCAACTTTATTTACTGTTAAAAATTATTTTTAATTCTGGGCGTTTATTAACCAATTTCATCACTTCATTAACCAATTTTTTATATTTTATTAACCAACTTTATTTCATAGCTTAAAAAACTATCTATGAATACTGTTCATGCACTGTTCATGGTATTGTTCATACACTGTTGTGACATTATTCCGCACTGCTCATATGTATTTTTCACCATATTGGTGAAAAGTGCATGCGGTGTAGTGTATGCTTTTGGTGTCAAAATAGCATTGCTGAATTCTAATACATAGTCAATGTGAGAGATAAGTGAAACTAACTTGAACAACTAACCTGATGAATCAAATTACTAACTTTTACTAAATTTTTAATTTCTTTAATTTTTTTCTCTTACATTAAAACCAAAACAATTCAACTCCACTAATATTCTCTCTTTCAAATCCAAATCATTTACATTAAAAAGAAATGTAAAGGAAAACAATTGTTATGGAATAATTAAAGAATATCGCATAAATTGAAATAAGAAATAAGAAATAAAAAATGTTAATCAAAGTAAATATTTGGAGGATAAAATTGTAATTGTGTTATTAATTCGTTTCATTCTATTGGGTACATTCCAATTTGGATGGAATTAAAAATAAGTTTAAAGAGTGGTATTGGATGAAACGGATTTCATCAAATCACATTCCATTCCATTCATTTTTTTGTAAAACTAAACAATGGAACATGTTAGATAATATAAATTTGGCATTTGAAAAAGTCAATAACATAAAGCCATGAATGGTTAGCTAGTTGCAAGAAAAGCCATACATTTTTTAGCAAAAGCTAAATATGCATTTTTTTTTCAATTGTTATAAATAGTTGTATTACTTGTAATGAAGTACTCATCATAAAGAAAGTGAAAGTTAAAACAATAAAGAAAAAGGCTCCAACAAGTTTTCTTTTTGTGCTTATAAGAAGTTTGTTTATGATACTACTTTCAATATTATTCTTATAACACCACAATTATAATTATATTAAGGCAATTAAATTCATTTGCCAACATTTGGCATCAGAGCTTGTTACATTAAAATGGCTACAAGTTCAAGCACTAATCAAGTTTTGTTGGTGCAAATAATTGTTTTCAAATTCAATGGAAGATTAAATTTTCCTATGTGAAAACGGTTGATGGAGTTGTGTTTAGCAACCAACGGATATGGAGAAATTATGAAGAAAAGTTTTGTTGAACCAACTGAAGAAGATAAAGGAAAAGCTGATGAGAAACAAGTTGAGAAAGACCGTCAACTCAACGAAAAAGTTTTGTTTTTGATATGTCAATTTATGGAGCTATCTGTTTTTTGAGAAAAATTTTCCATGCTAAAACAGCTAAGGAGGCTTGGGAAATTTTACTTAAAACATATGAAGATGCTAACCCAGTTAAACAAACGAGGTTGCAAGGATTAAAACGTCAGTTTGAGTTAATTAAGCAAGGAAAAGATGAAAGCATTCATGAAAAAATTTCACGAATGGACAAACTAGTCAATGAAATCAAATCCAACGGTGATGACATAAAGGAGAAAGATGTTGTGGAGAAAATTATGCGCACTCTTTCAACTCATTTTGATTATGTAGTAGTAGCAATTAAAGAAGGAAAATATGTCACCACAATGACTTTAAATGATTTGCAAGCATCTTTGGAGTCACGTGACATGCAGATGAACGAGAGGTCAAGTGGCACATTTGAGCAAGCTTTAAAAGCTAAAACAAATGTGAGAAGTGAGGGACTTGTGCAAAGAAGGTCAAACCACTTTCAAAGAGGACATAGTTCCAAAGGTAACTGGAGGAATTCTCAAACTGACTTAAGCCAAAACACACAAGGTAATGGTTTCTTTCAAAATAAATCTAATATTCAATGTCACAAATGTCAAAAGTACGAACATTTTCAATCATAATGCAAATCTCATATTCAGTGTCATAATTGTAAAAAAGTATGGTCATATAGTCAAAAATGTCGTACTAAATCATTGAATATTAGACATAGCCATGCTTGAGTTGCAGAAATTGAAGATGATATGAAAATGATGCTTACAACATGTCATGTTATAGCCGATAAAAAAGTTGATCAAGGTTGTTATATACTAGTTGCAGTAACCATTTAAGTGGGAATAATGAACTATTTAGTAACTTAGATGAAAGTTTTCGCAACATAGTCAAGCTCGAAGATAATTTAAAACTTCAAGTTTTAGGAAAAGGAAAGATCGCCATCAGATTGAAGGATGGGTCTTTGAATTATATTTCAGATGTATTATATGTAGATAGTATATGGCAGAATCTCTTAAGTGTTGGACAACTTGCTAAGAAAGGCTATGATTTAAACTTCAACAAAAGAGGTTGCATTATCAATGATGCTGAGATAGGTCTCATAGCAAAGACAAGCATGTCAAGGAATCGTCTATTTCCAATGAACATCAAGTATGATGCTAATATGTATTGCAAAATTGTAGTTATTGATGATAATTGGCTTTGGCACATGTGTCTTGGACACTTCAACTTTGAAAGCATAAAGTTTCTTGCAAATAAGAATCGGGTTACTGGCTTTCCTGTTACCCAAGTTCCTGATCAACTGTGTGAAGCTTGTGTAGTAGGAAAGAAGCGTCGAGATCCTTTTCCTAAAGGGAAAGCATGGAGAGCTACAAAACCACTTGAGCTTGTGCACTCTGATTTATGCTATATGGAAGTACCATCCAATGGAGGTAATAAATATTTTATTACTTTCATTGATTACTTTAGTAGAAAGATGTAGGTTTATGTTTGTTAGAACAGTGATAGAGTATCGGGGTTTGTTATCGTCTCCACAGGGAATATGAGATATTGCTGCCGTTCGACAGTTGTCAAGTTTTTAACTTATAGTAACAAGGGGTTTTGGTTTTTCGTTACGGTAGCTTGCATAGAAAAAGTAATAAATGCGGTAAAAGTTTAGGTTTTACGATTTGAGAAAGATTGTCAAAGTTAGGGTTCGACGATCACTTTGCATGTATATGTTCGATCAACAAAACTCATAAACTCTGTTAGATGATAAACACATTCACAATATCCTCTCAATGTGTTTATTTCTAACACACGTTGTGATTTTTCCCATTTTGATCCATTGTTGATTTCCCACACAATCTATCAAAATGACAATTTTTAAGGTTTGATATTTTAGTGAACAACCACATTCAAGACTATCTCTAGCTCAAGAACATAGATGGATGAAAACCTAGGTAAAAAGTTGGAAAATACCTTTCAATCATAAACCGACCCAAAGAGTTAACAATAAAACAAAGTTTTCACCATATATTCATCATCAAAGATTTTACAAATGAAGATCATCCCATTTACATACAAAGCTTGTGATCATTTACATCTAACCTTGACAAAAGGAAGGACCTACTCATTTTCATGGTAGCTTGCACAAGAAGTTTCGGGAGACGGTTGATCAACATCTGAGTCGAAGAATCGAGTTTGGATGAGAATCCACCTTCTTTTTGGAAGATCTTGTTAAGAGATGAAGAATAATGAGGAAATGGGTTTCTAGGTCACAAATATCTCCCTTGGAGCAAAAACAAAACAAAGTGGTTGAAAAAGTAGGAAAAAAATAAAAGATATTTTTTTACAAAAGTAGCTCATGCTACTTATAGACAAATAAAATGTTGTTCTGCCACGCTCGCTACCTTTCTCGCCTAGCGATGTCATAGCGAGCGTTCGCTATATGCTCGCCCAGCGAACATGCTAGCGAGGTCTGGGATGTTGCTACTGGAAGCGTTCGCTGACTTGCTCGCTAGGTGCTCGCCTAGCGAGTTCTTCGCTGCCTTCCTCGCCCCAAGCGAAGCTGATCAATTTGATTTTGTCCAAGTCTGGGAGCGTTCGCTAGCAGCTCGCTATGAGCTCGCCTAGCGAACGTTCGCTACCTCACTCGCTTAGCGAACAAGCTAGCGAGCTTGCTTTTGATTGCTTTCTTTCTTGATTCCTTTGCCATTTTTCTTGTGTCTTCAAGTTCTACTCTTTCATGCCTAAATACTGCACAATAACACACAAATCAAAAGGACCAAGAGTATTTCACATAATGTTGCATATAAACAAAAGCAAGGGCGATTTTGACATTTTCTGGACAAAACGGAGTGTTAGATGCCCATATTTGATAGCTCAAATAAGCACAATTGGGCATCTAACAACTCTCCCCAACTAGAGTCTTGCTTGCCCTCA